GGACTGTTTCTCGTATATGGATGGTGTTATCCTATATTGTTAGTCTTTCCTTTAATATAATACGAGAATGCTATTATATTATGTCTTCTATTTATATGTTACTACTGTTTTATCATTGTAAATAATGATTACTCATTAATCTGTTATGAGTAAAATTGGTAACGACCATTAATTATAGTAATTGAGTTATTTACAATTTCTTAAACTAATTTTATTTTTTCTTAATGTTAGTCTGTTATATTTTGACTTATGCATAGATCAAATCGTAACAGTTACGGTTTCTGAAAACTACATATTTATTTAAATATATGTTGTTTGGAAATCGGAATTGATTCTTTGTTTATAATTGGGAGCATCCTATATATTTTTTACCATTATGATCAATTAGCTAGTCATAATTTGTTAATCAAAATTTTAAAGCAAATTTATTTTTAACCGGCAGTGGTGATATTATTATTATTGTAAGAAAATAATTATGGTATTTAAAAGGTAATTTTATTGGCCTTTTAAATCATAGAAACTAATAATTTATTAGGCAACCATTATATCTTTTCAAATATATAATTATTGTCTACATGACAAGCAAAACTAAGAGGAAAAAAAAAAAAACAAGAGTATTAGGGAAAATATTTATAATATTTTGAGCAATTAAATTCTTTTGAATGGTGAGGTTTTTCTAACCCATTTTACATCTTTGACAATCTTTGAAGGAAAACAAGCGTATTATGGAAAAGTGAAGGCACTGTGGTTGAACAGAAGTCCAGAGAGAGAGAGAGAAAAAACTATTGATCGGAGCCATGTTCCTTTTGTTCGGGTTATAATGAAGATCACATTAGTAAAACATGTGTTACAAACAAACAAGATATGACACATTTAGCTAGAAAGAATTAAACAGAGGAATATTGGTGAAAACAGAGAGGTCGATTTCATTGACTCATGCAAAAAGAGTTACATGAGCATATCCATGAAGGGGTAACAACAAAGGAAGAAAGTGCTAGTGATAAATCCAGCCTCTGCCTTCTCAAAGTTATGGAATGACATATAGATCGAAGATGAAGAAGCTATAAAGGTCTAAGATGCTCTTTGCGAAGCCTTTGTGAAGCAATACAATAAATCAGAGAGATCGTTTCTTTGCTCTGCTTGGAAACTAGTTGATGGAGACCAAGGTTGAAGGTGAGCGAGTCAAAGTGGTTATAATTTATTTTGTAATGCAAGAGATATAAAGAAGATATGAAGGAAAAAAAAAAAAATGAAGAAGAAGAAGGAAGAAGTAGATCATTAGAGATACTCCATATGTGTTTAGTATTTTGTAATTTGACCTTTGCCATAGCTGGTGAGCTTGCATGGTGGGTCATATATAATATAATTTAATTTTTGTGTGGCAGAGAGAGATCGCACGGGATGTCCTGGGTTCTCTCATCCGATATAGTGTGTGTGTGCGCGGGTGCATGTGTCTTGCTTTAATTCTCTCGTACCACTTCCAATTTCTAACATTGCAATGTTGCAAACAAATCAAATAGTGATAATTGTATCCAGATAGAATAAACAAAGCTAACAAAAGTATTCATCTCAATATTTTTCCAATGAGGTATTATCGGTGATGAATTATTTTGTGGAGGAAAAAAGATGATGATGAAAAATAAAATAAAATAAATATATATATAATAATGAGAGAAAAAGAAGAAAGTGGTGGGGTGGTAAGAAAAAAATAATAATAATGAAAAAGAGAGAAAAATATGAAGAGAAAAAAATGAGGAGTTGGGTTGTGAAGAAAAAGAAAGAAAATTAAAAAGACCAAGTGTCTTATTAGGACATAATCCTATATATATCGAGAGGGATGGGCTTAAGTCCCAAGGGAGTCACCTCCGAAAGTAACCCAACCTTCTGATTGGCGATTTATATCACATGGCAAAAGGTTCAATGGGTAGAAACAATCTGCACTCCGTGACTCATTGACAACACTCTTTTTAGGAGGTTTCTCGAGGAGATTCTTTTCTGCACATCCCTATGGAATCAGTGTTGTAAATGTGACGTTAAGGAAGGGTTTTACCTTGAATGAATTCGAGGCAAACATACTCTCACATGGTATAGGTCACATATACCATTGGAGGATTCACCTAAGTAAAATTCATCATGAGGCCGCGATCGTGGGAGTTGGGCTGTTCCCTTGAGCTTTCATGAGAATCAAGATACCAACGCATGGCCATTAATTGCGCTAACCCGCCAAACCAAGTCTATCGTCAATACTATGTGTGTGGTATGTTGAAGTTTGGCTAAAGGAACCGAATTCAAGACTTAATTCATTCGGGTTCCTCAAATGGAGACTATCACACCAAGTATACGTTCAAGCCCAGAAAGCACTTACACTGATTGCATAGCATAAAGTTGCTCAATAATATTTTACTTATTATTTTTATTAAAATAGGTGGGGATTGTTGGGAATATTTTAATAAAAATATAATTATATTGTATTAATTATGGTTTAATGAGATTTTATTCCACTAATTAAATTATACTTATGGTGTATATTATTTCTATCATTATTATACCTTAGCGGTTACATGTTTTACTCCTTATATATACTCTATGTATAAAACATCTATAATAGGACTTTTGGGTATATGGCAAGATCATAGAGTGACCCTTTTGTATGGGTTGTGAGCTTATTCTATTTTTTCCTTTGACAGTTATTTGAATATTGAGTTTATGAGCAACTAGACTTATATAGACTTGGACCTAGTCTTCCTGTGGTCGTGCACATGGAGGAGACGCCGCTGTGAACTAATTAGGTTGTATCTTGGAGTTGACTAGTTTCACCAATACCTGCACGAAGGGGAGGACTATCAACTTTAAGTCAATGTGTTAACACAAGCCTCAACAATCAGGCCAGCCCTTTCTTACCTATTTTACTATTGTCGTTTTTTAATTCTTAATTTCTATTATTATTATATTAATTTTTATTGCAGAATATTTATCTCGTTAAATCCTTGTATTCAAGTTGTTCAATTGATGTATTATTCAATTTAATGAAAGTATTTTATTTGATAATTCATCGGTGTGATTGTTCATTTCATTGAATCATTGTGTGTGAATGTTGTATTTATATTTTTTCTATAATAATGTGGAATTTCCACAGCACAATTAAGAATTAAACATCCATTAATCAAAATATAAAAAGATTACTTACCCAAAAAAATAAATAAACATTAAAACAATAAAATAATGAAAGTAAAGGAAAAAAAAAAACACACCGGACGTAAAAAATTTAGCATGGAAATCCAAACGGGAGAAAATCAATCCACCAGCTTGAAGTAAAGTTGCAAACTCTGACTGAGGCTCGCACTAACAACACTCTACTAAGAATTAATTAGTTGTTGAATGCATTTAAATTGTGAGTCATCTTCCAATTGTTGTAGACTTCAGACTTAGTACTCAATCCTTGTAAAAGGGCTGTTGGAAGAACACAACTACTCCATGAACACTCTATTCCCATCGTTGTGTATTGGAATCCACCTTTTTTTTTTCAATGACACGAAGAATTAAAATGAATTATGCTACTCTGATCGGACTAAGTAAATCGATGTTGACGATGAGGAACTTCACCTAAATGACTCTCATATTTTGTGTTTCTAAAAAGATAAAAACATATTATACTGAATTCCCACCCATATTAAGAGAAGTTGGACCAGTCTGATTTCTCCAAAAGTCAAAAATTGGAATTTTTGGATTAAGCGACCGATCGAAAATAAAAGGACAGTCCGACTTTCCCGATTTCAAAAGAAAACCCAACCATGAAAGTTGAATCGGTAGTAAAAAGTACGACCAGTCAAACTTTTTCAGAAAAAGAAATTTTGCAATAAAATAATGTTTTTCCTATGTCTCAACCCACCAAACTTGAAATATAAAATGTCTTCATTTACATACTTATTCTGAGTGATGTTTCATCTAATCCCATGGTACAAGGTAACAAATAAAATTAATACAGCTCATGTTATTATTAAACTGGAGTTACTGAAACCTTTTCCCAGCCCAGATCGTAATTAATGTCATGTTAAAATACTCAGATCAAACCAAGTATTAGGATTTAAGGAACGAAGAAATAAAGCCTGCTAAGCCCATCCAAACACCAGGACAGGTTTGGATTGACCAAGTTGCAGCCCTAGATCTAAATTTGCAATATATGTTTGAGCATGAGTAGAATCAGTTCTTAACTAATCTATGCAGCAACCTATGGGCCGTAACACCACTATTGTGTGGCCTTTATACAGGGCGGAATTAGGATTTCAATTTAGGGGCATAGTAGAAATAAAAATTAATAAATCAAAAAGAAAAGAAGAAAAATGAAACAAGAATGACATAACTTTAAAAATAAAAAAAATTAGAACGTGACTGAAGAAGGAAAATTTTCCTAATTTAAAGAAATTAAAGAGAGAAAGAAGACAAACAAGCCAGTAATTTAGCGGTATCAGGCCTTTATTTTTTAAAACAAGGTAAGTTTAAGCCCCTATAAAGACATGTGCGCGTAAGTACAAACTAAGAAAGAAAGAGAAAAATTAAAAAAATTAAAAAAAACTAAAATAATTTTAGGTTGCATTACGTTTAAAATAAATACATAAATAAAAATATAACTACAATAATATAGTGTGGCGGTCAAGCCAGGGCATGTGCCTATCATAATGATTTTAATGGATGGGTTGGGCTGCTGATCAGCCTTTCTCTTGTGGGGTTGGCTCTCTGACCAATTCATTCTGTCTTCAATCTCGACAGGTCATATAACTACTGTTTGGCCCACAGAACTTGAAAAGGAAGTAATGTGCTAAAGTGGTACATGCACTGCACAGTGCTGCTGTTGACTTGTTGGACTCTCTCTTTCTCTCTCTCTGCAGTCTGCACTGGGAGTCTGGGAAGTTGACTTGTTCGAGTCTCTCTCTTTTTCTTGGTGTATAGCTAATGTTGTCTAGGCTTCATTGAAAACATTTTACAACCTGTGATTGTATATTCTATTTCAGAAACAATCGAGTTTCAGTCTTATTCCTCTTACCAATTTTAGCAACTGAAACAACTTCAATTTCAATTTCAATTTCAATATTTCTTTTGGAAGACGCCAAAGATTCAACAATACTAGAAACAGAAATATGTGTTTCTCAAAAGATCAATATCATACATCCAGAAGATGAAAGATGAAAAGGTTAGTCAGAAAGCTTCTTATCCAATCCCATTTTCGGGTTTTCGAACATTGATTTTGCATGGAAATTAACTCAGAGGTACATAACCTAGAAGCTGGAGTGAGTCCAAAAAACCTATATACGTATGCATCCAACACTACACAAATTTCCACTCACCATGTAGCCATTACATAGTCCTCACCAAAGAGGTAAGCAATCCTCTCCACTCTCCATGGATCATCTCCAACTTTGCCATCCTCCCAATGATGAGGCAACAACTTTGACCTGCACAAAGGGCATGTCACCTGACTCTTCTCAATCCACTCGTCCAGGCAACGCCTGTGAAATGCGTGACAGCAATTAAATAACTCTCTGATCTCGTCACCTCTCTCCAGACTACTTAAACAAATAGCACACTCCGTGCACCCTTCTCGAGCCATGTCCACTCTTTCAAGAAAGCTGCCGAATTCTATCACCGGCAGCTTCTTCTTTATCAATTCAACCCCAATTCGGCTCGCGACTGGTACGGGAACTAACAGCGATGATGGCCGATGATCCTCGGGGGAATCATCGTCAAAATGATGCTTTGAAGACCACCCTTTGTTCAAAAGAGTATGCAAGCACCGGTAGAATATGAGTGTGAGTTTCAAAATGACATGGGCTAGGAGTTTTTGAAGCTGTGTCATCACTAGTTTTGGGATTTTAGTGCCTGCACAAGTGAAGTTGATCATGCTTGAGAAAAGTTGACCTAGCTTGAGAAGGATAAAGAGACATTGATGATTTAAATAAAAGAATTTAAATGTACTGATATTATTAAGAGCGGTGATATTTAGCTGAGTGGTCCTTTTTGAAGCCTCTAGAAACAAATATAAATGCACATCTACAGTAGTTCAATTATAGATCTAATTCCCAACTGCAAAATTGAAAACACTTCTAGAAACTAGTGTAAATGCACATCTACAATAATTAAATTGTCCATCTAATTTCCATGGACTTTTAGAGCATAAGCAAATTCCCGGAACCAGCTACAATAGACACTACACCTCCTAGTCCTAGTCCTAGCTACGTAGTATATGTTTTGTTATGCACAATGATATACAGGGAAGTGTTCCGCCACGTACTGACATATATATATATATATATATTTTTTTTTACTTGAATGAGTAAGCTTGTATTAAAAGAAGAAAAAGATATGCACAACGTCCATAAAGAATGGGCAGAGTTCCGCTACAGATTTTGCATCCTTTATATCAGACGTATTATGGTGGGACCCAAGTGGAATCCCATCACAAAATATTTACGGATGCAAAGGATTTGCATAATTAAGATTCCGATTGAAGTATTTTGTTTGATTATTATTTAAGTTTGACTATTGGTAATTTGTTAGTGGACTTATATGACAATGAATGATTGAGATAAAAGCTTAGGAGAGCTTTTATTTTTTTTAAACACGGACAAAAGTTTTTGTTGGATTCTAATAGAACACAAACAACAAAATACAATGTAAAGCCTACTAGTTGTTTAATACAAGAAGCTACTAATCATACTCATTTTCCAAGTTCAATTTTTCTCTTCTCACACTTATACTTTGTGATCATTCTCTCCACAAAAATGACATGTATGTTTAAGGGGATTAGTAATTACAAAGGGTTTGATTTCAACTTTCATAAAAACCTCTTTTAAATTATGTAACTACAAATTCTTTGTATTGAACCCAACTCTTCTTTATTACTCAAGTCTTCGGACAAAATTTTCAACTCATCAAGTTTGGAAGTGTCAAAGTTTAACTTTTGAAAAAACTTATTAGATTTAACCAAATCACTTTTCAAAGTATCAATTTTATGCTCAATTTTATTAAGCCATTTAACATGTTCAAGTTCCTTTTTCCAGGAAGTTAACCTTACCAAGAAGATTCGATTTCCCAAGTCCAACTTATTCTAAATTTTTATTGGTGACTGAACTTTATAACTTACAGCTATTTCTATCAAGTTCTGCAAGTTTTAATTTTTCACCAATTTTTCAAAATTTCTTTTCAACTTGGACCACTCACTATAAGAAAAGTGTGCTTTTACGACTAGCATTTTCGAGACTCATTTATTTTGCTGAAAAAATTGCATTTGACGAGGTTCAGAAAGGGTTCCTTATAGTTGTTATGGGATCAGGAATAGAATCCTCGTAAAATATTGCTTTCACAGGGTGTTAAAGATGCTTGTTAATATATACAGTTATCAACTTTAACGAGGCAGTTGTCAACTTTAACGAATATAAGTGCCTCATTAATGAAGGTCAACTTTAAAGGGTGTAAACCTCTCTCGTTAAAGCTAAAATTTCCCCTTTCCCACACAGTTTCGCGGGACAAAGTAGGGTAAAATATCATTTGATATAAGCGCCTCATTTTCCCGCCCACAGAATTTCCCACTCCCGCGCCAAAATTGATAATCAGTCAAAGCCCGTGTGGAAAAAAAAAAAATTAATGACCTTTTCATTTAGACGAACCTAGCAGCTTTTATCTGTATTTGCTCTCCAGCGCAACCAGTCCCCATTACCAAAGGCCTTTTGTCTCTTTTTCACAGCAACAGCCTCTGAACCCACCACGCCCACCGGAGAAATTGAGCTTAAACGGAGTAGTCTACACTCGTTTCTACTCAACCCAAAGGTTCCTACTCAAATTTCCCTAGTGGCTGACAAATTCGACCCAGACCAAGGCTCTAATCAGTTTCTTTCTTCCTTTATTTCTGCAAGGTTGAAGTCAGAGAGTTGAAAGAGAAACCATCTCAAACTATTTCGACCCAGACCAAGGCAGAGCTATATCTTCAACCCTCTCTCTACCCTCTAAGGATTTGAACGCACATTCATTCTTCAGGTAATCTGCAATCCCTCTTTCTCTAACATTTTTAGGGCTTTTTTCAATCTCTCTTTCTGAAACATTTTTAGGGCTTTATTCAATCCCAAATTCTCAAACATTTTTAGGATTAACGCATGGGGTTTTATTTATTTATTTTTCTCTGGTTTTATTGTAAATTGTGTTGGCTGAATTTGGTTTGTTTTTGGCTGGATTTGGGTTTTATTATTTTCCATTTCCTAATTGATTGTGTTTCTCTTTTTATTTGTATTATGTACTATATATATATATTGTTTGCGCTATATATAATCGTCTCTTGATTCTAGTCCAGCATTATGATTCACTATTTTATTTATTCGACTTATTTTGGATGGTTTTGGAAAACCTTCTTATTGAGTGTATCACAAGAGCAAAAATAGTTGGCAATCATGAGCCTTTACTTCCTTCATGTGGGTGAGACCTGATTTGCCACCTGGAAATGGAATGTCAGAATTCCAAAAAGAATGAAGAGGCTGTTCTCCGGAATTAGGAATTCGTCTTATCAAAATTTGTGAACATAGAAACTATATATATATGGATTATTTTTTTTCCTTGTGAATAAAGAACTTAACCACAAAATAATTTTCACAAGTTTTAAAAGAGATATGATGACACGAATTAGTAAATAGTCAAAAGAAAAATATTGCTTAATGCAGGAAAAGTTGAATGAAAATAAATTACTTAATCACAAAAAAAATCTACTGTTATTCTAATGTAGCTTTTCAATTTTTGCCTGAAAATGAAGATAATAAAAGAATTTATGTATAATTGTATAATAAATTTGAATTATCTAACATGCTTGTTAGGTGTATGTCCAACTATACATTTTGGATACATATCACACATTAATGTCAAGGCGTCGTGTGTTAGACAAGGATATGCCATGTGCTTTTTAAGAGTTCATGTAAATTACTCTAGTTTGATTTTGCAAAAAGTCATGATTGTGGCCTTCATTGAGCTTCATGTTCAATGTGATTTGTCAAACCTCATCCTAACGGTATATCCGATATCAAAGCAGTTGGTCTGATAATGAGACACAAGTCAGTTTTTTGTTAAAAAAAAAAAAATTCTTTCTAAAAGTTAATGCAAATACACACACTTACCATATATTTTTGCCCTACTAAGAGTCATCGAACACTTGATCTCTCAAAATGAAAGAGAAGCTTATATCATCTAAGCTAGATTTTATTGGTGACACGGGTCAAAGTTATCAAAGCATTCCTCAAGCTTTTTATGTGACATAAGAGCCACACTTTCTCTCAAAACTACAATAGAGATGAATTTGCTTTCTTCTTGTTCACAAGTTTTTAACAATATTGTTAAAGGGCCTAGTGTTTGCCCTTTAACAATATTGTAAAGGGGCTACAAACCCTTTAACAAACAAGCAAATGCTTGTACATGGAATGCTCGTATCTCTAGACATTGTAAAATGGGAAGTGTAATTTTATCCTTTTCCCTAGTTCATCTGGAATTGTATAATATACTTAATTTAGTTGAAAAATTAAGTTAGAATGAAATCATAAGGACAAATTTGATGTCTCATTTTATTTTTGTTAGTAAGTTGACTCTATTGACAATATCTATGGGAGAAATCCAACACATAATAGCCAATATATATATATATATATATATATATATATTTAATGAATAAGAGATACTCGACCATGTAATTGTGTTGCATGTATCACCTTTTAATTAATCTCATAGTTTCTGCCATGCAAACCATGAACTACTATTGATGTGACCTACTTGACTGATGGTTGAATTTATCAAATAGGCTGAAATGGGGCTAAGAGGGAGTTAAGCTACATTAGACTAACAGTAAAATCTAAATAAATTACTTAATCACAAAAAATGAAAATAAATTACTTAATCACAAAATAATTTTCAGGCAATTTCCAATGAAAACTCATTATGGGCATTCTGCTACTCTAAATGGCCAAGCTCTAAGTTGTAGAACAGGGAATTTTTTTCGATCTATGCTGATAGTTGTGTTGCGCAAATAGAAAATTAGTTTTGAATTTTTTATTTCTAGCTCTTTTGCTTTAATTGTTTGATTCTTACACTTCGTTTATTTCCCATGCCCCATTCTCCAGTTACATTCATAGATGTTAATGCATTCATCAGTGATATTCCTGCGTTACATAGTATGTCTATTAGTTTTAATCCTTTGGCAACCTCGTATCACTATTATACTCATTTGTTACTTCACTCACCAGAAAAAAAACATAAAAAATAATGTTCAACTACAAAAGATTGGCTGGCATAATTGATTTTAAATTTTTTTTTTTTTTTTTTTTATTGTTAATCTTGATATTGTTTGTTATGACAGCAAGAGAGTCATGGTAAAAAAATTATTTTATCATAAAACGGACATTTAAGCTATAGAAATAAAAAGTGAAAATGTGTAGTGTTTTTTTTTTTTTTCAATTTAAATGAAGATCTAGAAAGTAAAGTAATTCTAGTCGAACCAGTTCTAAGATCTGAAAATTGTTTAATTCTTTCTATCTAACTTGAAATGCTTCTATATTTAAATGCAGTTCCATGTCAATATCTAATGGAAGACACAAATAAGAAAGTATCATTTGGTGATGGTTACTTGAAAATATCTTTACTAGCATTAGAATTTTCATTTTAAAAGTTGATTGTTTGACCCATTGGCTTTATCTGTAGCAAGAAACATGAATATTTTCAACAATTAGAAGTTTTAATATTGTTCTTATTTATTTGTACAAGGGTAATTTATGCTCGAATGAAGTTTAGGTGATGGATAAAGAATGGATGCACATCGCTAACAGATTCTTATATGTAATAGATTGTTTTTATAAGAGTTAATATTTTTTACATTAATTATATATTTAATTAAAAGTTAAAGTTTAAATTTTATAGAGGTGATCAATAAGCAACCTTTTTTTTTTTTTTTTTTTTTTTTTTTTTTTTAGAAAGTAGTCATTATTATATGATTTTATTTTATTTTTAGATTTGTTGGCATTACATTTTTATTTTTCTTTTTCCTCACGGGATTATTTTCACAAGGTCATTAGGAGCATGCTCAAAGGTAATATATTTAACTCGTAAGTTCCATTTTTTCATTGTTGTCTTCCTTTTTTTTTTTTTTTTTTTTTTTTTTTTTTTTTTTTTTTTAAATTGTCAATTATATATTTGGATGAATTATACATTTCTACCTCCATGTTAGACTCATGTTAAAGGGGTCACGTGTCTTAAAGTGACCAATTTTGCGGTGTATAGGGGGTCACATGCCTAAAGTGACCATTTTTGTGGTGTATAGAGAACTTTTCAATCTTTTCAAGTGTGATGTCAAGGAGTACTCCAGGCTGTCAACATCAGTACAAATATCCATTAGAACAAGCTAGAAAAATAAAAAATTGTGTCTGACAATGTTAAGAGTTTGAACTGAGTCCTTTAGAATTATGTCCCTTTTTCATGTGTTTAATTAAGAGTCAACACAAGATCTCTTAATTAACTGCAACATAAGCTAATTAAGTTAGACAATGCAATCAAATTAATCTTTGTGAGTTTAAGATTAAAGTCTGACAATGTTAGAGTTTGAACTTTGGTGCAAAAATTTTTGGGTCATAGATTTATCATATGTTATAATTTTTTTTTTTCCAAAACCCATGTGATAAGATTAAACATTTCAGTGTAAAATATCATAGGAATATCTGAAATTTGGATATTATAGCTTATATCCTTTATGTGGTAAGTTGGTGACATGAAATGGGATACCACTACATAATACTTTCTATAAGCATCCAAAAAAATCATTATTTTTGCCAAAAACATAACTGTCCATACATAGAAAGCAAGATAGATTTTAGTTTTCTACTAAAACAATTCAAGTACACATCCAGATGCTGCATATAATGTACTGAACTAAGTGGCCCATAATAGAGTAAAAAGATGCAAATGATTTTATCCATTCTTTCTTTTTTATTTTATTTTTTTTTTCCTAACAAAAATAAAAAAATTGAATCAATAGTTTGGACAAAACTATGGCCATGCAGGAGAGTTTCTGCTTCTGCACGAAGGTTGCATTTTGATCCCTAGAGGGGGTCTGTTCAATTCCACATGACACCACCATGGCCATAATTGTTGTCTCAAAAGGGCTTGGCCTTGATATAGATGAGGTATATGGTATTGTTTACTGATTTCTTGCTGAAATAATATGATATTTAAGTTTTTAATCTTTTTGGTATAATTAGGGAATGGTGTCTAATGTTTCTCTTTAGTGGAGTTGGGACATATTTAGGTGTTATCAAATCCACAATAAACTTCTTAAAAGTTTTAAAAAATGTGGCAAATTAGTTTTAAAAAATCATCAACAAATGGCCTGAATAGATAAAAATATTTTTATCAGTTGGTCACTGGATTTGCTAGCTTGAAGAAAAAATTTATTGAACCTTGATTGTACTGTAGTATTGTGGCATTTAATTCGATGGATAGAATTTTCATTGATTGAGCTTTTATTGGTCCACATGATTGATATTAATTACATTTCACCATGGTTAAAGGAAGCAGAAGGGGTGTGTACATATTTAATCACTTATAGATACTTATATAGATTTTATGTTCACACCACCATTGATAAACTTTTACTTATTTTTAGAAGCTGTGTGAATCTATCATGTATAGCGCACATATTTCTCGTAAACCATGGGTAATTTTGATCAACAAGGGTGAGTCTGCAAGGACATTTATGGTAATCATCCAATTTATTAGCTCCCTTTGAACTAGAGCCAATCACACATTTACATAGATTACCTCTTTACTTGCTGGTAGATTTAATAATTCATATTTGTAAATTGTGGCTGGTAGGTTACCTCTTTATTGTGTAATTGTTTCACCATTCATCAACTTGCTGCTTGCCCTTTTATAGTCATCAAATATTTATCCACAATATAGACATGTCACATGGATAAGACTACAGTACTGCACATGGTTTTCTTTATGTTGGATTCACATGTAAGTGTACTTGCATCTCTCTGTTCAAATTATGATGCATTGCCTATTGTGCCACTGCAAACTTTTCAGGGCAGAATTGTTCTCGGAATCTTGACGAAATCATGCACCATCTCTTGACTTTGAAGAAGGACGGATCAAGTATGTTCTATTCTGTTCTTCCACCACTTGCACTACTTATTATATAGATGCTCAAATCTCCCTGACATGGCATTTGTTTGTACCGTCTAGACATTTTTTTCCCACCTTGCCAACTGCCTTACCTGCTTATACATTGAATATTACAGATAGACATGCAATTTTCATTTTCTATTATGGCTTTTCATGATAACTATGTCCAATCAGTTGTCTCATTTGATTTGTTCTTAACCAATTTTTCTCATCAAATAAGAATTTGGAGTGTCAATATTCTCCATTTTGCATTCGGGTTGTGTCCTTGCTTTTATATAGTAAATGGTGTACTTACTAATGGCAAAAAATAATTAATTAACACTCATATAAGCAAATTGAAACCGTCAATGGGACACCAGAAATCTCAAGGATCACCCACTGGAGAAAATACAAGCAACTAAAGTATTGCCACTTCACATATGAACACCTCTCTCTCTTTCTCTATATACCTAAGTAATTCACATGGGGGAAAACAAATGATAAATCCATGTTACATGCTTTCATATTTTTGTTTAATTTGTATCATCTCTTGACTCTCCTGAAAATGCATGGTGATTATTGAAAGTTAAGGGAAGGCTTATTTTCATTAAATTTTGTTGTTTGCTGAAGCCATGTTCAAATTATAACACTGCCAATGCGCCTTCATTTTGATCAGCATATATAACTAGTTGAGCAGCATATATTGATCAGCAATTAACAATTTTATGTAGTTGTCTCTCCCTCATTTTCATTTTGGACACCTTTCTTATAATTAAGTAGTGGTTGTTACACATAAATGTGCAACCTTCTGTAGCCCCTACATGAAGAATTAACAAGAAATAGTAATTTCTTTCAATTAAATTTTTTGTAATTAATAACCAATGGCAGAATGGTTTTAGATTCTGTAGAAAATGTTGAAACAAGGTAAAGTATAATAACTCGTAAATTAAAATTTAGAACTAGAGAACAACTTTAAACTTTACCTTTTTTAAATTTTTTGGGCTATTTGTGTACGTAAATAAATACAAAACATGCAATAGAGAATTTTAATTTCTCTTTCTAAGATAAATACAAAAACACACACACATACGAAACATATATGGACAAGGCCCTCTCCTTTTGATAACTAAGAAAAGGTTAGTGGTAATACTTGGACTGGTAGTAGTTAAAGAACAAAAATTGTTAAAGGAATAAAATTAATGAGCATGTCTTTACTTTGGAAATTGAAGTAATGATACGTTCAAGTGTGTTACAAACTAGATTGGCACGAGGCTGGTAGACTGTTAGCGGTCATATTTTGAAGATATGAAATTGAGAATAATTTATTTTATTTATTATTATTATTATTTTTTATCATAGGCATTTCAGCGATTGTATTGTAGTAGTAATCATACTCTTTTTCTAATTTTACCTCATTCATCTTCTTCTTTTTTTTGTGTGTAATACATGTAATTGCTTGGATTTTGTACCATGGACAATGAGGTGGAGGAAGTGTCTGAAAAATTAAAAGTCAACTTGTGCCGATGATTAAAGAATAATGTGAAGATTGACTCATTGATGTGTTTTTGACATACATTGGATTTTTTTTTTTTTTTTTTTTTTTGCAATTTGGCACATTAAATCATGATGAATTGTCTTTGATATGTTCAATGATGTATGAATTGTTAAATTGTCTTTTGATATATTTAATGGTATATTTGGTTATTGTTATCAAGTGGAAAGTGTTAACTTTATGAAGTATTGTTTACTTAAAATTGTGATCAATATATAGGTTATATGTGAATGATTGGGTAGCATTAATTGAATGTGCTTTTATTAAATATAAATAAATATGTTATTTACGGGGTCTTCACAATCCTTGAATAAAAGTCTTTACATTATTTTACAAGGAGGGAATCTCTCTGTAAAAAAGATTTTTACGGTTTACAGTATCTATTTACGAGAGGCTAGTTACATTGTAAATTAATTATTAACGAAAGGCTAATTACATCGTAAATTAATTAATGCCTGGTGTCTCGCACATTACTATTTTACGAGCTCTGCTAGTCCTCGTAAAAAGCTAAGAGCATTTACAAGGGCATAATAGACGAGGGAGGCATTTGCGTTTTCACGAGGTGTTTGGGCACTCGTAAAAGCCCTTTTTTTTTTTTTTTTTTCCTTGTAGTGACTTTAGATGTATTCATGTGACAGACCCAGAGAATGGAAGTTTTACCCTATCATCATCCGAAGGTTTCGGGAGAAAGAGGAAAGGGAAAGGTACGAAAGACAGAAATAAAGAGCTAACGCTAGCTCAATCCAGTGGAATGTCAAATAAGGAAGACTAAGATCAGAAAAATACAAAAGAATCAATTATCATATCAGTCGAGTCCAATGACGGACCCAGAAAGTCAAGTGAGGAGGGCAATACTAAATTTTTTAAATAATTTCAGGGGGCAAAGACAATATTTCGTTAGTATAAATATCAGTGACAAAATAATAGGATAAAATGGTGAAAGAAAAAAAAAAATCAAAGGAGGCAATTGCCCCCCGCAGAAGTTTACATGGCTCTGTTCCTGGTCAAGTCGAACATGACACAACAAGTTAAGGAAAGTGAAATAGAATAAGATAGAGGACATGCATCAAGAGAGAAAGAGAGATAGTCGAGATTAAATAAGAGACATCATCCAAAAATCAAAACTAAATCATGTCAACTAAAAAAATCTAACTCAAGACACTAATTAATCTGCTTCGATAACAAATGTGAGTTACGTGGTGTAGAAGTAATTACTTAATTAATTAGATATGGTGTTCTTATGACCTATAGGGGGGTGAATATGTCTCTTGCTTGATTTTTTTTGATGGATTAATTTACCTCGGGCTTATAAGACGACTTAAGAAGTTTGGTGCCAAAAAAAGAAATTATAAAGTTATTAAAAACTGAAATCCACCACATATTAAGATAAGTGTGACAAGTCGAATTCCTCCAGAAGTAAAAAACGTGGGATTATCAAAAATAAAAGGACCGATTTAACTTTCTTGGATTCCAAAGGAAACCCAATAATGTAAGTTGGATCAATTTGACTTTCTTGGATTTCAAAGAAAACCCAATAATGAAAGTTGGATCAGTTGTAAAAAAACTGAAAAAACTAAATTTTACAATAAAACAATATTTCTCCTAAGTCCCAATCCACCAAACTTTCAATAGAAAATGTCCCAACTCATATACCTATTTTAAGTGGTGTTTCATCTAATTTTACCGCGAGGCACACTTAATATTTTGACAAGAGTAATAATAAAATTAATATAGCACGGGTTATTATTAAACTCGAGTTGCCGACACCTTTTCCCAGCCCGGATCCTAATTAATGTGATGTTAACAATTTTTTGATTTTTAATTATCTGAATACAGAAAACTACTGTTATGACATTTCCAAATCAAGCGGGCCATAATCTATGCACCACTTGCCCTTTATATATATAGATGATTTTAATGGATGGGTTGAGCTGCCGATCTACAACCCACTCGATTGGCCCACAGAGCCTGAAAAAGGCAGCACGTTGTTGATTTGTTGGACTCACTCTCTCTGTGCACTGGGAAGTTAACCTGTTGATTTTGTAGCTAATGGTGTCTAGCTTGAGTGAAAACTTTTTACAACCTGTGATTGCAGATTCTATTCCAGAGACAATCGAATTATCACTTATCAGTCTTATTCTCCTCTTAGCAATTTTAGCAACCGAAACAATTTCAGTGTCAATATTACGTAACTTACGTTTGAAAGAGGGCAAAGCTTCAACAATACTAAAACAGAAATATGTGTTTCTCAAAAGATCAATATCATACATCCAGAAGATGGAAATGGAAAGGTTACTCAGAAAGCTTCTTATCGAATCCGAGTTTCGGGTTTTCGAACATTGATTTTTGCATGGAAATTGACTCATCCAGAGGTACATAACCTTAAAGTGTGCCCAAAAAAGCTACATATTACAACAAATTGATGTTCCACTCACCATGTAGCCATTACATAGTCCTCACCAAAGAGGTAAGCAATCCTCTCCACCCTCCATGGATCATCTCCACCATTACCATCCTCCCAATGATGAGGCAACAACTTTGACCTGCACAAAGGGCATGTCACATGACTCTTCTCAACCCACTCATCCAGGCAACGCCTGTGAAACGCGTGACAGCAATTAAATAGCTCTCTGATCTCGTCGCGTCTCTCCATACTACTTAAACAAATAGCACACTCGGTGCACCCTTCTCGAGCCATGTCCACTCTTTCAAGAAAGCTGCAAAATTCTATCACCGGCAACTTCTTCTTTATCAATTCAACCCCAATTCGGCTTGTGACCGGTACGGGAACCAACAACGACGATGGCCGATGATCCCCGGGTGAATCATCGTCAAAATGATGCTTTGAAGGCAACCATTTGTTCAAAATAGTATGCAAGCAGAATATGAGTGTGAGTTTGAAATTGACACGGGATAGGAGTTTTTGAATCTCTGTCACTACTAGTTTTGGGATTTTAGTGACTGCACAAGTGAAGTTCATATTTCTTGAGAAAATTTGAGCTAGCTTGACAAGGATAAGGAAGGAGACACATTGTTGATTTAAATAAAGATTTTAAATGTGTACTGATATTATTAAGAGTTGTGATAGCTACATGAGTGGTCCTTTTTGAAACTTCTAGAAACAAATATAAATGCACATCTACAATAATTAAATTGTATATCTAATTCCCAACAGCAAAATTGCAAAACTTCTACAAACTAATATAAATGCACATCTACAATAATTAAATTGTCTTTCTAATTTCCAACATTAGCATTATGTATGGCCTTTTTATAGTAGTATAAGCAAATTCCCAAAACCAGGTACCATAGCCCGCTACACTTCCTAACTAGCTATATATTGCCATGGACAATGATGAACGGGGAAGTGTTAGTTCCGTCAAAGATTTTGCATCTGATGTAGAACAGATTGTTAAAGTTTATTTGGTCTGTTTGGATTGTCAGAAGGTTAAATAGGCATGCTGATAATTTTTTTGAGTCAATTCTAAAATGTCTATTTTTTATCCATAGTTTTTTTTTATTGGAAACAGCCCAACGAGTAAAACTCACTATTATGGTATGAGTAAAACTCACTATTATGCAGTGATGTACGCCGCTTTTCGGCGAAATACCATTGTTTAGTGTCTCCAAAGGACTTTTTTGTCTCCTTGCTTAATATTTCAAGATTTTTGTTCATTATCTAAATGAAATCTAACTGGTATCAAAATTTTAATTTAGTAGTTTTTATTCATTACGATTCTTATGTTATTTTTTCATAATTTTTTTCATAATTTTATTTTTAAACTTGTTTTCGAGTGTTTGTTTTCTTTGAGATTAAGTTTCCTTATGTTGCAAAGTTTCTGTGTTTCCTTATAATTTAGGATTTTTGTTTCATTATAAATATATGTAATGTAGAAAGAAGAATCGCCTATTCAATTATTCAATACAATATTACCTTATTTCTAAATTTATTTTTTACTTTGTGAATTCAAAGTTATTATTTTGTGGAATCAAAATAATTTATGGTTCACTGTGAGCAAACTAGTTAATGCTACGTTAACATCCTCAATGTCAGATGGGACCAAGTGAATCCCATCACAATACATCCCAAGGAGCAAAGGGATCCGCAGAAGATTCCGGCTGAAGTATTTTGTTTGAATATTATTTTCGTCTTGTTAATGAAATCTGATATACTTGACTATAGTTACTGATGTAATAATGAATGATTGAGATAAAAACTTAGGAGATCGAGAGCTTATATTCTTTTTAAACACAAACAAAAGTTCTTGTTGGATTATATCCATTGAAATTGTAAAAAAAAAAACGGTCCGTCTAGCATTGCGCTGTTTGTAAGTCTCAATATTTGAAAAGTATGATTGTAGAATACTAAAAGCCGTCCATTATTGGTTTGATTATTTTTAGAGTCACTTTGGGATTGCTATTAGAATGCTAAAAGCGCTTTTAATACTAGAGCTGTTATAAAAATACTAGAGCTGTTATAAAAGTACTGTCAGTAAAACGCAGTTAAGCGTTTGATGACACATTGTATAAAGCACTTTTTTTACTTGAAGCACTTTTAAAATTGTTTGTTAGTAATATTGGTTAAAGAACTTTTATTACTAATTTTACTATATTATCCTTACATTAAACATATGATAATTCCCTAATATTAAATATTATAAAATTCGATTGAGTTGAATGATTTATAAAGATGAACTTGTATTTTTTTATTATTATTTTAAATATCACATATTTTGTTTATTACAGAGTCTTACGCGTTGTTTGCTACTGGTTTATTACAGAGTCCAAAATAAACTAGGATCACATATTTTGTTTAGATATTTTTTAAATATCACATATTTTGTTTATTACAGAGTCCAAAATAAACTAGGATTTTTGTTTTTTTACAGAGTCCCACACATTATTTGCTATTTGTTTGTAGAAGCCTAAAGGAGATAAAATTGTATTAATAAAAAATATAAAGGGATAAAATTGTCTATAACAAAATTAGTTACCCAAAAACACGTACCTCTACCCGTAACGCAGTTTTAAAAGTTACGATTCTTAACTTTAAGTAAATGCACGTTTTAAACCTAACCTCTACCATCTTTAAGAGAGCTTTTTTTTTTCACCAAACACTTTTCACCGCAATTTTTTAAAATAAAAGTACTTTTCAGCAATAGAAAAGCACTCCCAAACACCTACTTAGTCTGCTTGGGCACCAAATATGTGCGTTGAAATTGATGAAATTTAAATTGGGAAAAATTTAAATTTACAGATTTCTATACTTCCAACTGATTCAAAATTTTGATACCCTATTTTTGAGTTGGAGAATTGACTCTAATACAATTGGTCACGACCTGCCATGTCGTGTTGATATGGTTTGCTTTTGTACACTCTTAGTGTTCACAATTTTTGTAACGACTCACTCTACCACATGGTATGATATTGTCCGCTTTGGGTTTGAGCCCGTACGGTTTTGCTCCTGAGCATTACCCCAAAAGACCTCATACCAATTGAAATGACACACCTACATATAAGCATTTCACATTTCCTTTACCCAGGCGATGTGGGACTGTGCACCCGTAGCTCGTCAGTGTGGTAGCCTGTCAGTGTCTTGCACCCGCTCACAGAGTCATCACAATCCACCCCTCTTGGAGACCCGACGTCCCCGCCGACACACTTCCGGCTGGGTTAGGCTCTGATACCATTTGTAACGACCCACTCCACCACATAGTATGATATTGTCCGCTTTAGGTTTGAGCCCGTGCGGTTTTGCTCATAAGCTTTACCCCAAAAGGTCTCATACCAATTGGAGTGACACACCTACATATAAGCATTTCACCTTTCCTTTACCAAAACGATGTGGGCATTTGCAACCGTAGCTCGCCAATGTGGTAGTTTGTCAGTGTCCGCACCCACCTACGGCACATCCGTCCACAGAGTCATCACAATTTTTAAAATACTTTAAAAGACACTCACATATAAATGACAACACCCCTCAAGACAATGTAACATGTCAAGAGGCTGATGACAAAAATGTATACAATACCTTCATCTCTCCTCCAATTCCATTTCTAATGTTGAAATATGTATGTATTACAATAGAATTTGCAGACATAATATACGTATATGTTGATCTAGTTTGGAATTTGTGAAGTTCGAAATTCCTATTTGGATTGGCTTTGGTTCAAGGTAGAAGACTAATAATAAGTAAAATTAATGAAGGAAAACGAAATGAAAGGTTATACAGCACATGTTGGTGGGGTGGTTAAGACCAAGGAAGAAATTAGCATAAGAAATCGAAAAAAAAATTATAGTTCAAATCGATACTTCAAAATTAAAATTGGAGAAAATTTAAATTTAAGATTTCTATACTTCCAAATACAACATACGTATAAGAATCATTTTCATCTTGTTCAAAATTTTCGAGTTGGGAATTGGCTCTAATACTATTCGTCACGACCTGCCATGTCTTGTTGATATCGTCGACCTTTGTACACTCGTCATGCTCACAATTTTCAAAATACTTTAAAAGACATCCACATATAAATGACAACAAACTCCCTCACGAGAATGTAATATGTCACAAGGCAGATGATAAAAATGTATACAATGCCTTCATCTCTCCGCCAATTCCATTTCTAATGTTGAAATATGTATGTATTACAATAGAATATGCAGACATAATATACGTCTTTGTTGATCTAGTTTGGAATTTGTGAAGTTCGAAATTCCTATTTGGATGTTTGGGTTAAGGTAGAAGACTACAAGGCTGCGTTTGGTGTGCATGAATGGAATAGAATGGAACTTGGAATGGAATGAGAATGAGAATGGAATATAACGAGTATGAGTACTCATTCCATTGTTTGGTGTGATACAGTGAATCGTTATGGAATGAAATGATTATTACCATTCTATTATTTGGTTGACTATCATTAAATCTGGAATATAATAATTTTTCTCAAAAATACCATTTTCATTTACTTACATTACTTTTTAATAAAATCAATTTAATAAATATTCTGACGATGAATTATGGGATGTTATAAGATGCCCAATACTGGCGTTAAAAAAAATAAAGAAAAACCTTAAAAAAATAAAATATTATTTTTAATGAGATATTAATCTTAATAAATGATTGCAAAAGGGAAAATATCTAAATTCCCAAAAGACAAGAATAAAATCGTAGCCACTTCCCAGCCCCATGGTCAGAATAGTGTTCTAGAATTGGCTTTAAATCTTGGACAGATTCAAGTTTTAGAACTAAACCACTCCACCATGATTGAAGACACACAAATAAATTTGTCAGTACAATTTTATTCAAAAAGGGGTTGAATACTTAACCTAATAAGCTGATGTAAAGGCTAAAAAACAAATATATATATATATATATATACATATTTTTAAGGTTGAACGTCCTGCAACTTTTTGTCAATGGCAATCCTAGGTATATTCAGAAGAGATGGAAGGTGAAAAACCTTTACCACGTCTAATAAAGAAGGCCGAGAAACGTGAAAAATAGAATGTGAAAGATTTTTTGTCTATGCGAAAGATTTTTGCCTGTTATTGGAATGTGATGAAGGGTTTATTAGGAATATTATAAAAATATTTAATCTTACTAGGAAATGGAATGGCCATTCCATAAGTTTAGTAATGGAATGAATTTTCATTCCCTAAAAAGGATGTTCATTCTAATGGAATGGTCATTCCATTCCTGCTAGGGTGCACACGGTTCAGCTCGGTACGATTCTTGTCGGAATCTGAACCAATCTTAACGGTTCCTTAAAAATGGAACCAGAGCCGAACTGTTGAGATCTGGAACCGGACCGAACCGAACTGGCAAGGAACCGTGATTATCTGAAACAATTTCCTCATGAGCTTCACAAATCGATCTTCGGCCACGGTTCACCCCTCTTCCTTTCCAAGGCTTGATATGAAAGGTCATTGGCAATATATATATATATATATATATATATATATATATATATATATATATATCAAGGTCATATATATATATATATATATATATATATCAAGGTCTGTAATTCT